CTGAGTTCTTCTTCGACGTCGTCGGCCTGGTGACCGGGGAGAAGCGAGAACCGACCGCAGTCGACCCCGTCACGACCACCAAGCTCCGTCGGATCCTCCGCCTCCCGCCCGATGGGGCCGACGCGGCTCGACGCAGGGTGGAATTCCGGCCCGAGGATTCCGTCCGCCCTCGCAGTCCCAAGGTCAAGGTCAAGGGCAGGAGGGGAGTCCCTGCTTCGCGACGCCGCAGAGACGACGCGAAATGAACGATTTATTCCTGCACGTTTCCGATTCAAAATGACAAAATTCCAGCATTGGCAATAGGGTTCAACGGGTTTGAAATTCCCCAGATGAAAATTCCGGTTATCGGCAGATTTCCTCTCAAATTCCTTCCATGACATCGCGAGCACAATGCGCGATGGGATGAAAATATGTATGTTTCATGATCCCGTCTCTCATTTCCATCAACGCTGAAGAAATCTAATCCTGTAACTCTATCTCATGATCCCAGCACAATCGAGAATCCCTCAAAGGAAAAACCGACATTAAAGTAATTGGACTAATGCATGAAAGCGGATACAGACAGGAACTGATTAGGCCGTATCAGAAACCTAAGCAGAGTTTCCACCTTTACAGAAGGGAATTGGATGGAAAGAGATGGCCGATGTGGCTCAGAACCGATTGGTCCCCGATAAAAATTTTAAGTCACGTGACCCCCGATGAGGAGTGGATTATGGGGAAATTAAAAGCGATTTATTATTGTCATACAATGTCAGACGGCATAGAAAAACGAGCACACTCTGCAACCCATAAATTCGATCTTCATTTCCCCATACAAACACAACCCAAAAACGAAATCTTCAATACCCTGCAGAAAAAAAAACCAAAAAAGAATGGATCTCTCAGGAGGAATGCACAGAAAGAGGATCACTCGGCATGCAGTCGTGCCACAAGAAACGATGGAGGTCGCATGGCATGAATTAGTGAGGTGAAAGGCTGGCACGGGGAAAGCGTGTGATGCACCCAGGATAAGTGAAATGGCTGCAAAACGAGCAACACCTGTGTTTTCTTCCAGTACTACGTTTGTGTGGCTCAGGTACTGTAGTGCCACTCGGTTAGCGAAGTCCTTACTTCAGTGAAATTCATGGAACTGAAATTGCAGTTTTATCACATGAGTAGGAGCATTCAAGCAACATTTTTATTCTCGTGTTTCCTAGCAATTCCTTAGCAAAAAATACAAGCTGTTGTAATTCTTGCTTCAAAAGTAGATCGTGGAAAGAGGTTCCATGATCCGACTGTACCAGACAGATTTGGACGTTTCTGAGTTCCTTGAAGTTGTCATAACATGCCAACTAGTGAAATATATTGTCTATGAATTTGAAGGCACTTGGAGTAATAAAGTCCCTTCACAGCTGCAATCTGTAAAAATGGCCAGGAGTATAATTTATCCCCTGAGCTTATTTCTCAAACTCAAGGACAGTAACTGGAATGGAAACTTTAGTTTGGTGCCAAAACACGAAAGACCACAGTTCCGCAATCGTCCTTTGGACTCGAAACGAGGCGAGAGCAGAAGATAAATTAAAGTCTCCTAATATAGAAGCTCCACGCAGACTATAGAACCAGAGAGATGTGAAAGAACACAGCAATATGTGCAGAAGTGATAACAAACATGAACAACATCTGAAATATTGCCATAAAAATATTTGTCCGATCCTCCAGAGGGGAAATTATAGTGCCCGATTTTGCCCCGTTCACGAGTATTTGCTAGTGGAAGAATGAAGTGAATGTAACAGACTTCAATTTCAATTATGTACGCATCCAGAGCATATTCAATAAGCTGTACCTGCTCTTAAGACTGAAAGACAGAAAAAGGAAATTGAAAAACTTTAATATTAGCAGCTCCCAATCTCATCAAGTCTGAATGTAACTGTCAACTCTAGTTTATCTGAACATTAATAATCCAATGCTCCCATTTCTTAGGACAAAAGGGATGGTCCTGGCAGAAATGCAATTGAACCAATATATATAAATTCTCCATTTAATCCAAATGAATAAATTCTTTTTAACCTGTTTACATGAATGAGTTCTCCACTACCCAGAGCCATTCCCTCTGCTAATCAGTGCTTGGTTAAGAGAAGAAACAGAATGTGACAAAAGCACTGATTCTGTTTTTGTCCCTTCAAATCCCCTCCAAGAAACAGGGAAGTACAGAAAGGCACTCTTTCCTTTGAGCCCTTTGAGCATCTCCCTTTCCAGGAAATGGGTAATGGAGATTACTTTTACCATTAGGCTTCCTCTCACTCTTTGGACATCAGCCTCATTCACCTTTGTCATTACAGCCTCAGCAAATTTCTTGTCTATTAAGAGAAAGGATTCTCAGTATTAACAGACATGCTGAGTGTCTTCTGTGTGAAGTTGAAACAATTTTGGAGTCCACGGATGTGACATGTTGAAAGACCCAAGTCAGTAATTCCCATTAACATGAAAAAGAAAGAACAAATGCAGACTTTGTGCAGTAGGCTGAAAGAACAACTTTCCGTGCCCCCCTCAAAAAAAGAGAGCAGTCATTACAATCACCTGGAAGGAATGTTAATTTTGACAAAATTGCCAGGTCCCATAAGTACAGAAAAACTAGAGTTGACTTTAGGTTAGATTAAAATGCATTCAATGAAATTCAAAATGTTGCTCTTAACTGACTGCATCAGGAGATATGAGAAAATTCACATAATATATATAAAGAATTTGTAGATGTCACCACTGAGAACAGTCATCCCGGTAGTATGAAAAACATTGAAAAGTGTACAGTGACACACAGGTAAAATTTCCAGTGTAACTGGTCCACCCAAGTTTGACTGATGAGATAGGGGCTGGCATTTTAAACGTTCTCTGGCATATTTGTTTTTCATTCATGACTAGAATAAATAGGGAATTCTTACGATGATTCTCTGTCATCGAGCTTTCTTTTTCCCACCAATCAGCATTCCCCCTAGACCTGGCCAAAACTTGACCAATCCATAGACATAAAGTGCATTGAGGACGAATCCAACAGCATAGAAGACGATCTTGTTCGCACTTGGAATGATTGCAATCGTCTGGTTGAGGAGGCTGCCAGTAATGATGCCAAAAACAGCTGTTGCCAAGTGACCCCAGAAGGATGCACGGGTGTTGATGCCGAAGCCGGCGCCCGCAAGGGTGCCAGCATCGCGCATCACAGTGTACAGGGGGGTGGTATCCAGATGGACCCAGGCGCGCTGGGAGCACCATTTGATGGCAAGGGCCTCAGACCAGAGAGGGTCTGCCTGGAGCATGAAGATGGAGAAGGAGGCCAGAAGTATCAGTCCACTCCCCAGCAAGTAGATGTAGCTCCTCCATCCAACCATGTGCACTGAATTAACTACCTTCCCAACCAAGAGGCCTGATAAAAGAAAGAGAACACTCTCCAATTCTACTGGTTCCAAAAGAATCAGGTTGATCGTATCTGCCTCTGGTGGATGGTCATCTGCCTCTTTTTCAACATTCTTAAAACAACTTTGCAAGGGGGCATTCATAAACAACATACATGATCAATAGTGATCAATTGGTATCAAATAGGATTTCCAAAATATACACTTACTGGCAACTGAGGAGGAAACCTCATCAAAGCCACAAAGATACTTTCCATACGTGAATACTCGTACAGCAAATGTTCATACACCAGAAATCACAAAACATCTTAGAGCTGGAAAGGTACTGACCTGCAATGAGACCAAGAAAGCATTGATGAGGGAAGTGAGTGGCAATGTAGACGCGACTCAGCCCAACGGCTAGCAGGAGTATGCCAAATGACAGCCACACCATTTTCTGCAATCTGGGGGTTTCAGAATAATACATGAAGAACAGAAAAGAAAGTCTTCAATTTACAAACTTAATGTAGAACACCGAGCCTGACATGCGTGGAAGCCGAAGGCGAGCGCAAAGGATGTCGACGACAATGTATCCTGTTGCAGCTGTGACCATGAGATGGCCTGATGGAGATCCAGGGCCTGTTTCACAGGTTTGGGGGAACTGTTCCAGGCGGGGAAGTTCCACGGGACCCATTTCTGGAACCCACCAGTATGGGCGATGATCCTTCAAGATCCTGAAAAGCAAAACTTTCACAATCAAGAGAGAATTTAACATGATTCAAAATGAGCAAGACATACAAGGTAAACTTAAAGAACTGTGACATTCCTCAAGAAGTAACTGAGAAATGCACAAACTTATTCTACGATTTGGAGAGGTAGAGTCACATACAATTCAAACTATTTACTAGCATGAAACTGAGGGCATATATTCAATGACTGTCATTAGCTGATACCTTTACAATGTTTTCAGAATAACCTTCTCAGTACTGGGTGGCACATATTTGTGCCAAATCCTGTTTTCTTGGCTATGGGTCTGAAGAGGATACTAACATTCTGATTCTACTTTGAAGCTGTCATCTGCTGTAGTCAACCCCTTACAAATTCAATTGCAAGTCCAATTCAAAATAATCCACCAGTTCTCATGTCAAAGTGCCAGTCCTTTAACTCCGTTGGCCTAAGAAAGCCAAATGCTCTCACCACTTCAGCATCAAGTTCAGCCAATCAGCCATGGCAGCAGCCCAGAGAACTCTGAGACCGGTGCCCAAGCTGAAGAGGAAGGAGAGAGGAAGAAGGACCAAGAAGGAATAACGGGGATCCCCCACGAGCGATGCCATCTCCAGCGCTCCTCCATACTCCCAGAGTCTGCAGGGAAAAAGAAGCTTGAAACTAGCTATTGGTCACCCAAAAAGTTGAGTCAGACTTGTCTCTGGAAAGTTCAATCCAAGATGGGCTAGTCTCACCTCTGCTGCAGGCTGTAAATTAATCTTGTGCTCATGGAATATACATGATGAGCATCCATTTTCTTTGAATTAAAAAAGGATGGGATTTCAATTATCGTCTCCGCACTTCAGCGTTTAAGTCGGCAGCATTGGCCGCTAGGACCTGGTTGAAGCCAAAAAAGAAATCTTAAAAGCTGAGAAATCTTCATATAGGCCTAAATGATTAAATTAGATACATATAATTGGGCCTATGAGCGTTAAAATGATAAGAGACTCGCTAAACAAAACATCTCTATGGTTTCTCTGCCTTTCGGCATTCCACACGTGCCCGACAGAAAGGAGACATGGAAGACTACGGTTGCTCATTCTTCGTTATCGCTCACGGCCAGATCCACCTATTACGGAGTGCAACGGTCTTATTATTGCTTTCTTCCACCGGCGTCTCTTGAATATCATGTCGAAATACAAATTTCGGCGAGAATATTACAATCAGCTCATATATGTGTGCTCGCTCCTGTCAAGTCGCAGCGGTATGTGAGGGTCACACTGATAATAAATGGTTCCTCGCGTTCTTACATGTGATCAGGGTGACCTACCAGCACAGCAATGTGATAGTGATTATGCTATAAATTGTTAGTAACGTGTTCCTTAGTTGGAAACCGATTCCTTAGGAGAATTTGAGTGATTCAAATGCTGCACTGTCAAAAGCCCAACCTTCAAATATTTGACTACCACCGATCCAGGCCTGCAGGAGTCAATAAGCACTGTTCAAGAGCCTGATGAGTCACCCTTTCACATGCAGATCCTGTAAAAGGCATGTCTGAGACGGTTTGGGGCAATGGAATTTTTTTATTGCCAGTTTCCTTATCAAAGGGAGGGTTAGCACTTCTGCAACAGGCTAAATCAAATTGGTTTTACATCAGGGAACTGGGTACATAATTCAGATTCTGCCAACTCACACAGTAGGCTGTCTGTGAAAGACTTGGTGTCAAGAAATTTACTTGGAAACGTTTCAACAATGAAATGAAAGGCCTATCCCTCAGTCTAATGCAAAATAGCTCTTTATGGGCATTTGAAAAGAGAAAAGAAAGCATTTGGCTTTGATGAGGACAAAAGAAGAGAATTGTGTATCTTAGGGTATCAGAATAAAACTAGAGAAAGAAAGGAAAATAAAAAATTTTGCTCAAGTTAATTAGTTTAAAAAGCTTGGTTTGAAAGATCCAGCCTGTGCTGTTAAATATCGTGGTTCAGTTGTCTCATTTTTCAGTTTTCCTTGAAGAGAAAAAAAATTATTGAGCAAATTGAGCTTTTAGTTTCTTCAGGATTTATCTGCAGTGTAATCTCTTCCTGGCAATTTTGAATTGCCCAGAATGAGTTACCCAGTTCTCTTTCCATCATATGTATCAGGTTGTGGATAAGAGTAAGCCTGCTCTTATTCCTCCATCTTGTGAGATTTGCAATCACAAGATATTGATGCCTTTTGGGGTGAATCCAGTCATGTATGACTAGGTGCAGTATTCTAAGAAATGATGAGGGGAAATGAGGGGTTAAATTTGTCATTTTTTGCATACATGTCATGAGAATGGCCGGGAGGGAAAATTGGATGGAGGAGAGGACGAAAGAAAGCCAGGGAACGGCCGGGAATTGAACCCGGGCCTCCTGATTACCGGTCAGGTGTGCTTCCATTACACCACCGAACCCAGGACATTCCCTCGTGCCTCTCAATGACATACACATCTCTGATTTCGTAAATTGTTGGAAAACTATATAATTAGAATTCTTATGTTTCCACTCATCTGTATTTGCCTGTATATATGCTATTTCCAGTGTTAGTCACTGTAGAGCTATGGTTCTTGGTTGCTGTAGTCCTGCTTATTTAACATGTTCTCTGCCGATAATGCATGTGTGTCAAAAACTTACGATGAAATCACTCATTGGGAGTGAATGTGTTAAATATGAATGTCTTTTTTCCTCAATATCAATTGGCTGATCTTTATTTTTGTTATTTTGGTACCTCTATCATGAGAGAGATTGTATGCACACAAATGGTGAGACTACAGGTCTGCTAAGTAAATCTGTTTTATAATGAGGTAATTTCCTAAACTTTAGAATATTGCATATTTCATAAACAATTTTTTCCCCTTTCCCATAATTTGAATATTCAGCCTGATAATCAAGCTTGAACAATGAGTATTAATGACCATTACAGGAAGTGCCCAAATTTAAAAATGTTCATCAACTTAGCATTGGACCTACTCGTAACATTAGCCTCTGAGTTCTATGCCTAGAGATTACAAGATATAACAAGACAGTAATATAAAAGCCCAAAGGTTCCCTTCAATTTTCCAGCTCTGGCTAGGAACTACTTTAAAGGTGTTATGGAGCAGTACCATAAGTTCTTGTAGTTGTTGCTGCGTGAGTTTTTCAATTCAAAATTTTCTTGGAACTACTGTGTTCAAGGAGTGACATCAAGTAGGTCCAGACAATGGAAGAAGGGCAGCCACGAAAGCGTACATGGCTTGAAATAAAGCAAGGAGTGAGGGCTGCAACAGCTCACTTCCTCAGAATGTCTTTCAAGGTGCCTAGTTCATTCACATTTGAAAAACTCCCTGGTGACAAGATGAGAGTGTATTTCCTTGCATCACCTGCACCGGGAAGAGAAACGACACTCCTGTTCACAGATGTTGGGCCGCAGCAATACTTCAGCTCATCTTCACCCATCCTCAATGTAAGCCTTTAAGTTGAAAAGGAAAGAGAGAAAAAGTCAATGAAAATGCCAATGAGAGTATGCCAGGATCACAGACATTAAAACTTGACTGGATTGACAAAGCTTGATGTGCCAACAGCAATAGCAGCCAAATCTGGCATGTTCCTAGAGGATGTAATGGCTGAGTTTGGTAAATAATTAAATGAGTTGGAAATGATGACAGCATGTGTAAGAGGGTTTAGAAAAAGACCCATAATGCATTATGTGTAGATTAGATGGACTTACAAGGTCATGTATTTTGATATCAGATAGAATACAGAGTGGTGCAAAAGTAATTTGCCCTGAACACCAGGGAAATGAATATTAAAAGCATCAGCGACAGCATGTGTTTGCTCCATTTCCCACCATTGCTCTGAATCAAACACTTGTTGGTCTTTTGTCAAACAATGAATCATTATCAAGTCACTCTGTAAACTAAAAAAAAATTATTTATTTCAAATATTTCAAAAAAGTGCTTGGGACAAGTTACTCTTGCACCACCTTGTATTGCTATCACAACATCACTGTCCCTATTGAATGCATGAGATGAATTTATCTCTGAAAAATTAACTGATAATAACTTCTGAGCTAATCAGGGGTTCAAAGTATACTTTTGCATTATCAGATTTTCTGCAAAATAAGCATATATAATACCTGCAAAAACTCTGCTGCTAGCCCCAAGTTTCATCTAATCTAATCTAATCTAATCTGATATGATCTAATGTATCTAATTTATAGGGGATTCCTTTTGCAGTGGATATGCTTATGAAATTTAAGTAATTTTTATTCACCCATGACTGGATCACATAGTCATATGTTGTTCATGTAGAAACAAGGTGGAAAATTTCATGGAATATATATTTATATCTCAGAAATCACATATTTTTCCTGGAAAGGTCCAGCCTGTTCTGTCAGCATCCTTCCAAGCCCAGAGTGGGAAATACTCCAGAGAAGAGCTACAGATGATGGACCGGAAGCGAGTTGTGACTTGGGGAATCACGTCTTATGAGGCCGATCTCAAGTCACGCCAGTTTATGTTCCCTGCAGCTGGGTCCCTTTTCCTGGCCTCTTTCCCGCCCATCACCCCTGTATGTGCTCAGGTTTCCCTCGCATGCCATGAATGTTTCTGGATTGGGTTTTTACATTCCGAGGGAATCAATAGGTTGGGAATGAGGGAATATTTCCAAAGGAGATCCCTGGAAGGCTGCCTGGACCTCGGCTGAATCCACAATTTTGCCCCTGTGATCCAAATTGGATATCTTTTGTCCGCTCCAACAACATCTGGATTCACAACCTTGATACTGGTAAATATTTTCTCCTTTTTCCATTTTACTGTATCATCCAACATGCTGTAGCATTCTGGCATATGCAAGTCTCACCATATTTTGAAACTGCTTGCAGAATCTGATAGTTTGTTATTCTTTCATAATCACTTGAAAAAAACAAAAACAAGAATGAATAAGCAGTAGGCATGGGGACACTCAGAGGACAAAAAAGAAGGGAAATTGGGAGGCAGAGAGATGAGTTCTTGCTAACAAATTCAAAAGAAAGACACTCTACTAAAGAAAATCTACTTGATCAGCTTCACAATAAGAAGGCTCATTGCGTGAATCCTAGCTGTCATGGGTTTAGATCAGTTGTCATCAATGTGAATTGCTTGAACCACATACATATCATCCTGGAAAATATCTTTCATTCAGTTAGGTAAATATAATTTTTTATCTTTTATTCTTCTCCCATATAGTGCCTGTCAGGCAAGCTCTCACTCCTATAAGGATGCCTCACTTTTTCTGACGTGCAGGCTTAAATTTAACATACAGCAGAAAAGCAGAGTAAAGTTGTAATAAAAATAGATTAAAATAAGGACTATCATGATTTTGGTGATGTAGGAAGTAAGTAGGAATACCATTGAATTATGAGTGTGTTTCAGTTGTAATTTATTTTCTATAGGTTCAGGAAGATGAATGTGTTTACTTCTAATTTCTTGGATGGACCAATTAAGACCAATTTAGGCATACTTAATCAGAAAAGGAATGCTTGGCACTGCCTGTATAACTATGGGCTTAAAAGCCAAGATATGTCATTGAAGATGAATGTTAAAGCTGTTAATGTCCCTTATGGACATGCTCTAAGGACACTGAATTTCAGTGAAGTCAGGGGAGTTTTAATTTGTCTTCAACTATCTGAGAGGGGCTTTCATGAGAACTTTATTTAGCCATGTCATAATTTCATAGATGCATTCTCTTTGTTTATTCATGGACACCATCCATTTAAAGTTTAAATATTTATTATGCTTCCTGGAATAGTTTATTCTCGAACTGGAATTTATTGACATTAATCTGTGGTTATAATCATTTTTACAATTGATGGTTGTGACCATGATGTTCATAAAAGTGACTGCATATTCTTAGCCCCTCAGATGACTGACAGGGTGTATTTTAATTTGAAAGAGAATCTTGTTAATGCCAATAATTTTTTAGGAAGCATAGGCAGGGTTTATGAAAATTATGTGGGGCTACTTCAGTTGCACCAGCAGTCCTGATTTAGACTGCAGCAGCCTTTTTGCTGCTTCAGGTTGAGTACATGGTGGGTATATTGTTTTGACAATATATTGTATATTGTTCTGTACTCTTCATGACCTTGTGCCTGCATATGCAAATGAAAAGATCCCACATTAAAACATAGAAAAATGTATTTGATGAACTTGGGAAGAAAATTTCACAATATGGAAGAAATTCACTGTCACCGAAGTTATGATTTTGTGCACTGTGAAGGGTTCCTGCTATTGAAAAGGTTTCCAGAAAGTTGTCACTTGAGGTATTCCTCCTTGATGGACATGTCAGGTTCCAAGTCCCTGCCGAGGACACGACCGACGACCATCTGGTAATTCTCGGGTAGGACTCCATCCTCCTGGGCCACTTTGATGCTGAGGTGCTGGTTTTGAAGCACCGTTCCAGCCGGGATGAAACGGGACGATACGACCGTTTTCCCTAATTTGACCTTTGTGCCCCACTCGCAAGGCACGATCCGCTTGACCCCGTCCCCGAAGCAGGCTTCCATCTCCCGGATGCTCTCGACCAGTCGAGTCAGTTCGCGCGGCTCGAGGGATACCTCGTGATCGCTCCCCTTCCACGTCTTGTCCAAGGTGATGTGCCTCTCGACCACTTTGGCCCCCATGGCCACGGCTCCCAGTGTTGCCACCATTCCGAGTTCGTGACCGGAGTAGCCGATGATGGCTTCGGGGAACTCTCTCTGATAAGTTCGAAGGACGTTGAGGTTCACCGCTTCGGCGGGGCTCGGGTAGGCACTAGTGCACTGAAGCAACACCAGAGGCACCCGGTCTTTGAGGAGCTCGTAGACGGCCCGCACGGTCTCCATGCTCTGCATCCCGGTGGACACGAGCATCGGCTTCCCGAAGCTGGCCACATGGTCCAGGAGGAGGAAGTTGTTGGTATCTCCTGAACCGATCTTGAAGAACGGGGCGTCCAGACGTTGTAAGAGATCGGCGGAAGGGATGTCCATGGGAGTGGCGATCAGCGGAATCCCGACCTCGTTCCACGCGTAGTCGCGAAGGTGGCGGACTTGCTCCTCGGTGAACTCCAGATGTCGCTTGTGGGCCTCGTAGGTCTCACCCCAGGAGTTGGGGGAGTCGTACGGGGTGCGGAGGACCCGGGACGTAAAGCCGTCCGGGAGGCTTCTCTTCTGCAGCTTCGCGCATCCCGCCCCGGCTTCCTTGGCGACGCGGATCAATTTCTCGGCGATGCGGATGTCTCCTTGGTGGTTCTGGCCGATTTCGGCGATGACGAGGCACGGCTCCCCGGCCCCGATGCGCAGCCCCGGCGCTAGCGTCACCGTGACCGGCGAGCGTTGTGTCGACTCTTCGAACCCACCGAACGACTCGGGCGAGCATCCCATCGCAGATCCGTCGGCTGGCTTCCCCGGCTGGATGCTTCCGTTGCAGCGAGACGGGGGCCTGCCTTGCAGTGGGATCTCGCACGTCTCGCTCGGCGCCGCGCTCATGACGGAGAGGATCGGGTCGCCTCTTCCCCGCTCAACAACACCCTAAGGGATCGCATTCTTCGCTAGATCGGGCTGGGCTCAACTTCGGGATACTGCGCGGAACTGGTTTCGAGGGAACGGGGGAAAATCGATAAGAGGAAGAGGCTGGGCGCATGTGTCGGGGGGGGGGGGGAAGAGAAGGTTAGCCTTCATTCCGTCTCGGCACGGGATTCTTTCGTTCTCGAATCTCTAGCGGCCGTGGATTCCTCAGACGCGAGAGGGTTATGCTTTTTATTCAAGTTTCGCGAGGAACCGATGCTCGTTCATCATACCACTCCAAAAAAGTGCCTTTAATTCAGGGACCGAAGAGATGCAAGGACGTGCTGATAGCAAAGCCCAGGGATGATCATTTGACAGGTGGTAGAGAATGCTCTAGGCATTGCCAGGATGTTCTTTACCAAAGCCACTACAGGTTTTTTTAAAATGTAATGAGCAGGTTTCTCCTTCATCTTTCTTGCGTTAGCCCCCGTCGCAGCAGATGGTTTCCCTTCCTTGCTTTGGGGAGCTCCCTCTCTTCCACCCTTCCATTTCTCGCGTGTTTGATCCTTTCAGCGGCCTCGTTCGTTGCCCCCTCGTACTCGTCATGAGCCTTTTCTGGACTGTATTCGTCCGCTCGAGTTCAGAACCAAAAACGATCGTCGGACTGTACAGGGTGAGTGATTCCTTTTAGTTTGAGGACCTCAGAACGACATCAAGAGAATGGGAAACGGGAAGGAAGTAGTTTCAAACCGTCTTGAAAGCATATGGTACTCATGGAGCATGATATTTTGGCCAATTTACTCTTGCCAGTAATTTATCAGGCATTCTATATCTATAAAGAATGAAATTATTTGATAAATCATGCATTGAGAAAAAAAGTTAAAAATTATATCTAACAATGAAATAAGCCAACTTCATGCGTCCTGCCCTCTGAATGAATCGTACATGTGAAAATGGATTGTACCATGTGCAAATATCAGGTATAGGTGCGACAAAAATACTTGCTTTGAAGTCCATTTATGAAGTAAATATATGTTAACGAATAACTTGATTGGATACGCCACATCTGAGTTTCGGCTCAAAATCGTACAATATTTTTTTCAGGATCTTGCAAGAGCATGTAGGCAACTATGCAACTTCTTCCGTTTCCTCCTTTGTCCAATGAGTTTTCAAAGGGGGAAAAAAAGTACAAAAGATATAAAACATGAAATTGATACAATTCTAGTATCAATGCTAGAATGCAATTACTTTTTCTCGGTAAAAACAAATGATATAGGTAGTACAGGGTGGGCCAAAAATATATTCGGTTATCTTTAACACTTCACAGCGTAGTTTCTCGAGAGTCTGAAAATATTGCAATCGCGTCTCCATGTAGAACATTTATCTAGCTTTCCACCGATGTCAAAAAGGTTGAAGATCCATTCCATCATTCTGATGCAGTTACAGTGTAACAGAGGCAGCGCTTTGTGAAGTGCACATTCGCAATCTTGCCAGGAAGTAGTTCACTTTTCCAGCGACGCCTCGTGTACTCTTTATCTAACTGCTGAAAAGTTTTGCCGCAAATCTTTATTTCGTTGGCATCATTGAAAAGCCGAATGAATGTTTTGTACGGAGGCGCTATTGCAGTTTCAGCAAACTCTTTGGGAGCAATGCAGTGGCGTGATTAAGATGACTCTAGGTTACTTGTTCGAAAATAAAATTTTCGAAAAATCAGTTTTTCGAATGGAAAATTTTTCGAACTACAACTTTTCGGAATCACTCCACGCGAAGCCTTTTTTTTTGCCGGATCATTAGTACCCAATGTTGTGTGCAACTCCGCGCAAGTAGTCACAAATGTTTATATTTTTATCCTAACCGTCAACAACCCGCCTCAGCTTTTCTGCATAGTCCCGATATTTCTTCGCTGACGAGGTGGTTCCTGGCCACTAGTATACTGCTCTGTGCGTACCTCATTCAGGCTCTGGTCCTTCTTGATTCCAGAAATGAACTTCCAAATATGGGGATGGCACCGAATCCTCGGTGCCATCCTCCGATGTTGTTAGTTTTGGGCAGCTCCTGAAGCACGCCATCGTAGCAGTTCCACATTTGATGTGCAAAAATTGGAGGACGGCGACCCTGACGACGGTCTGGACGTCCAATGCAGGTGTCCTCGAAGTAATCTATGACTGGCTGTGCTTCTTGGGGTAAAACATTCCTGTCGCACAATACATTGAAAGTGTCAACGGGTTCTGCAGTTGGAACGAAAGCCAGAGCGGGAAGCATCCGAAGCTTCATAGCAAAATCGGTATCATGCTCGTACCGTTCTTTCAGCCGTTTGCTTGCATTTTCCGCCAAATACACCGGCAAAAATGGAAAAAAACATAGGCATGATGAATTGCAAGTGGGCCCTCACTGTTGACCGCGTTTATCATGGACATCTCAAAGTCAGTCATAATAGTTTGAGAATCAGCAGCGGACTCTTAACTCCTTCACCTTCCTCAACAGACGGGTTTCTTTCCTCTTGTCTCCCAGAAGTGCATACACCAGAGGCATGGAGATGTAGGCTTCCGTTCCATGAATTGTATACAGCTGCTCAAATAGCGGTGGAACGGTCTTTAAGGTGCCGTCGGCATACCAGTGCTAGGAACATCCAAGAGGCTGCAAGTTTCTCTGAATAGAAAATGAGTACGCGGTCGTCTTGAGGTCCAGAGTCGTACAGTAGGAACTAGATTTCGAAAAATTATTGCTTGAAAAATTTGTCATTCGAAAACTCTCGGCTCGAAAAATTGATTTTCGAACAACTTGCCAGTTCCCCTCCCGAGACTCCCCCCCCCCCTTCCCCAAAAAAAAAGAAAAAAGTCCCAGTCAAAAATGTTGACAGGGAGAGCCAGTAGNTGCCACTTCCCCCCCCAAGACTCCCCCCCCCCCCCCCTTCCCCAAAAAAAAAGAAAAAAGTCCCAGTCAAAAATGTTGACAGGGAGAGCCAGTAGGCCTCTTGCGAGGTGGAGGGACCATATCACGAAACTTTGCCACTCGAGGCATTCCATCTACTCGAACAGTGACTCCATCCCCACTCGACTCCACTATCCTGCACTTTTATTATCGTTTTGGTTCTAGCACATCCCCTCTTGTTCAAGTCATGCAAGATAGTGTTTTTGCTTGGAGCATTTTGTCCCAAGGGAATCTTAGAGGCGTCTTAGCGAAACAGTCACACTTTTCGTCTCTTCGTACTACTGCACAGTTTTCTTCTTTTGCAGTAGTGTCGGACGTTCCTTACCCTTCATGTCCAATCATACACGCGGTTATTTTTCCAGGTCCTATTGCAACTCCCAGTCGCAGGTTATGCAGCTGTCTTCACTCAATCAAAAAGTAACAAAAGAAAAACCGTCATCATTTCGTGGTCCACCATGTATGTGCCTGAGCCTCTTTCAGGGAGCACCAGGCCTCTGGACAGAGAATAAAATATTATCTTCATGTCTGACTGGAAGAAAGAGAATTTGCAACATATGTGAATGTTAATGCAAAACGCAACGGAAAATGCTTGCTGGGCCATACCAGCAAGTACTGTATTCTGCTGAAAATTTATATTCAACAGAATACAGGTGAAAACGAAAATGTAGGTGTCATTTGCATCTCTAGATGTGGCAATTTTGCTAAGAGTGTAGAAGGAATTGAAAAGGTTAAGCAGAGTGGAGTACAGAATAGATAAGAGAAGAGCCTTCATGTGAAAAGATGAAGTCTGAAGACCAAAGCAGCCTAGTCCATCCAAATGTGTGGGGAAGTAGTTGACAACAGTGCAGACATGTTGAGAGGTATAGGTGGTGCAGGGAATGGCTAGCCAAGTTCATATAGCATAATCTATCCAGAGATCCAGGGAGCTATACAGATGTTTGATGTTGAAGGCATCTAGTACCCCATCAGATAAATAAGATTGTCTATATAACAAGGTGAGATTGGTTTAGAACTTATGGGAAGAAGTTGGTGAAGGTTGTGGTTGATTGGGTGACATGAGATCAGCTGGATTATGGAGTACCTAGAAATTTATGTCCAAACACATTTCCCATGCCTGTGAAATTTGTCAAGAGTTTTGACTTTTTATGAAGCAGCACATTGGGAAGCCTTTTTTGACAGTACAGATATTGTACCACATACAAGTACCCAGAAAAGCCCCCATGACAAAAGGATGAAACTTGGGAATCTGCCAGATCAGGACATCTGATTGTTCCCTTCCCTTAATAATTGTTCATCCCACTTCCACACTGAGGTGGTTTTCATCTGTGAGGATGTGCATGTATTTAATAATAAAAAAATGCAGACTCAAGAAAAATCAAGGTTACTGTCAAAGTATAATTCTGAAGAGAAGTTGATAGGGTTTCTTTTGGAAAGAAATCAAGAATGAATGATGAGACAAAGACACTGAGAAGGATTCTTTGTTGTGCAGGGAAGGAGTATGTGCTGACCCATTATAGCTGGGAGGGAGATGCCCTGGTCAGGGCTGGACTCCCCTCTTATGTCATTCAGGAAGAATTCCACCGCTATGATGGGTATTGGTGGAGACCGACAATGACCAATGGTAATGCTCCTTCTCCATTACTTTCTCTCTTATTCTCTCTACCTTTCAACATGTCCTTTGTACCATTTTCAACAGAAGTGGTTATTTCTCATCCTTATAAGAGTTTTCATTCTGTGCCTTAGTTGAAAATCTTATTTTGGTTATTGGGAGCTGTGAATGTTGCAGTTTTCATTTGATGGAAGAAAGAGAAAATACACACAGAGGGGATGAAAATGTTGTTCCTGGTTCAGTTCCCTCTGTTTTCACATCTGCTAAAGAATATATAATATGGAGGATTCTGCTTGCCTGCACCATTCCTTTGTTCCTCTTTGCTTTCCTGTTTTTTTCCTCCTTTACCTCTTGTCTTGGAACTGTGAAGTTGTGTGGAACTCCCCTTTGATGTGAATTTAAACTCTGGTTTTTACTATTTTTTTCAGATGGAGTTTGCCATATCTTGTATGAGGAGGTTGATGAGACTGGGGTGGAGACGTACAAGATTGGTTCAGGGATGAGCCCTGAGGAGACAACTGAGGAACAAAGGTTCTGTCTTTTCTTTCCCTTCCTTTTTGCAGTGGGGCTTACCATGTAATTCCTAAGTCAAGAAAGGGAATGATTCTTCAGCTTTCACTTTCATTCAAATTCACAAACTCAAATTGTATTATTATTTTTAAATTCCCAACTTGGTAGCAATCTTTTTCATATTGATGTTAATTTACTCCAATGGCTTGTATTCCTTCAGTGCAACAGAAGGTGAGAATTCTGCAAGAGTTTTTATTAAATGGCTTTGAGAAAGTTTCTGTATCCATTTACATCTGTCAACAATATACATATTGTTGATAGAAGTAGATAGATTTCATATGGAATTTTCCATTCTTTGTTTTACTGAGCATCTTATTTAATGATATCTCCTTTGCACTTCACAAGTGCTATCATGGGACTGAAGGTACTTCCAGGTATTACTATAATTCCACCAGTGGCCATCCATCACTACCAACATTTATGTTGAATCTCTAGTTACAGCATCCTGTTTAAAATTGTCATTGAAAGAAAGCCCTCTGCTGGATCTGGCTACCTCCATCTTGTTCTGTGATTTCTCATATGTACCTTTGGTATGGCCAGGTTCCCAAGGGCAGGCAGTCGGAATGCACGTTTTGCTCTCAAGGTCCTCCGCTTCCACCTCCCATTTGGGAATGGCAAGGCTGAAGAGGATGAGGAGAGGGAGGATGATGTGAATGTGGATGTAGATGTTCTGACTGGATCGTTGGAGCTCCTCTTTCCATGGGCTGAATATCTTATTGATGCCAACTGGACCCCTGATGGATCCTCGTAAGATTCTGTTATTTCTTAGGCTCCTAGTAGTCATTTTGACTTCAAAAGATAACTCACAAATTGTTTGATTGATATCCTCATTATGCCACCATTTTCCATGTGTGTAAAAACGGTGAAGGAATTCTGAATAATAGAGGTTATCAGCATGAAAGTACAAATTTTAAACTGATTGATTTTGCATGCTTACATTTGACAGAATCTGGGTGAAGTTGCTGGATCGGAAGCAGAGGCAGCTAGAAGGTGCCTTATTGCCACTGGAGACATTTTCCCTGCCATCAATAGTGGATGAGGAGGAGACTGAAACTGAGAGCAGTCTACCTGATCCACTGGTCTTCCTCCATTTGGAATCACCTACATCCTACCTCAATGTGAGTCTGTTCACCTAGAACCATCAGTATATTGAAGCATGTGAGAGTTGTGGTAAAACCAGAGCAGGCTGGTCTGTCCCAAGGTTGATGGTGTAGTTCGCTTTATTGAGTCCTGGCCTCGTGACATCATCTACTCCACTGAGCAGTCTGGATACCAGCACCTTTATTTCGCCTCTTGTGGACAGGGTCAGTATCTCTCAACTACAAAGAGTGGACTTCTATTCACAAAATATCCATCTATCTTGCACAGATTTATTTCCCTTGAGGGTCTTATTTCCTTTAGTATTTTGATTGCAGGCCCACTTTATTTTCTTAATAATTAAGTTTTTCACCAAATTGACATACATTCCCTCTATTAACCATCAAGTGCTTGTCATCCAGCATATGTCACACTCTTGCTTGAAGCAGGTCAAAATGAAGGCATGTGGGTTCTAAGTTTTTGTCAACAATAGGATTTATTTATTTATTCTGAGATGCTGAACTTTATGACTGAAGTGGAGTGCATGATCCATTGTAGAAAATTCAGTGAGAACACGTCAGTTGACAAAGGGCCCCTGGGTGGTGATGGCAGAGGAAATCTGGGTTGATGAAGAGAAGAATCTTATTTATTTCCTGGCCAATAAGGACACTCCATTGGAGAAGCACCTTTATGTTGCCTCTTACCTCCAGGAATCAGAACCTGTGTGCCTCACCCAGCAGGGACTTTCTCATCATGTCTTCCTTGACAAGGTTTGTCTTCTTCTCTGTTCTACCTTTCATTCTAGGCATCAGTATCACAATTTTCAAGCACCTTCTTTGGATGGTGCTCTGGGTTTTATGATGGCAGGGTTGCAGGATCCTGGTGTCATCTTGCAGTCGCTTGGATATGCCACCTTTGACACAGGTGTTTAGGATTCTTTCTTCCAAGGACATACATGGAATCACCATTGAACCTGTGGGACAGCTCCTGCCTTCACCTGACTCCAGTCAGTCTATCCCTAAGCCCTTCTGCATAAAATAGCACAAATAACTGCATATTTTCAACAACAAATAAACCTCTCTCTGCCTGAGTTGTATTAGTTCACTTCAATGACATGTTTTGTTTTTTTTTTCAAATCAGCAGCATCTATGAATTCCTTGCAATCATACAAAGCAATGTCATGAAGGATAACAAATTCCTCTAATTCAGGTCTCAGTACAATAAGCTTACATAGCTTTTCAGGCTTCCATTCATTCTAGTGAAGTGAGTGATGAAATTAGTATCCATATATGAAAGACACAGACCATGTAGCCTGTCATGGGTTCCTGGTGATATCATTATAGATGCATGGGTGGGTTACACACCACCTGAAGTCCATGCTTGCCAGATCTCCTCAGGGGAGACCCTCTACGCTTTGTTCTTCCCTCCACGCAACTTGGTACCTGGCCAGAAATATCCTGTGATCCTCAATGTCTATGGAGGACCAAAAGTCCAGATTGTCACCAACTCCTTCAAGGTAGCATCATTCAATAACTCAAATTCTCTAGGACACTTCCTTACCACATATCTAGCATTTAGTGATAACTCAGGTGACCCATTTTCAATCTCATATCTTGTGACAACTCAAACATATGACCATCTGGGTTCTGGTAGTGCCCATGGTTAACTGTTTCATCTCCTCACTCCCAAAGAATCTCTTCAAAATCCTTTGCTTAACCCAAGAACTGCCAACTTTCAGTAAAAAAATAATTCAGTATGGTATGGATCATTCCTTCAACTACAAAATTAGAGTTTCCAAGGGGAACCCTGTCCTTGAGTGAAAGTGGGTCATTCACATTTGGATCACTTTGTAGCTGTAGATCATTTTGAATAGGGGCGTCGAGAGCTGAGGAATCACGTCCTGGCTTCAATGGGTTATTGTGTCGTCTGCATTGATGGCAGGGGTTCAGCCAACCGGGGCTTTTTGTTCGAGTCTCACATCTTTGGACGTCTTGTATGCTGCCTCCTCTTTGTCTTTTCATTCTTGAACTTTTGAACAAATTAAAAAATTTGAAACTGCATCAGGGTCTTGTGGAGTTGGATGACCAGGTGGAAGTGCTGAGCTGGCTTGCTGATCAAAATCCATACATGGACATGAATCGTGTTGCCATTCATGGTTGGTCTTATGGAGGCTATATCAGTCTCATGGCCCTTGTGTCCTACCCCCATGTGTTCAAGGTCTGTCCTCCTGTTTGCACTTTAACTCTTGCAATTCCTAAACTCCAGCATGTAAATGTCAACCTAATTTTATTAAGAGCCAGAAAGAAACTAGGCCTGAACCAGGAATGCAGTCTCTATTCACATGTATGTCATCTGAATCTCAAGGAAAATATTTAAAAACAGAATAATTTCTTGCCTTAATAGAAAATAGTAATGTGAAATTCATATTATTGTGACAGCTGCAGGAGAGAGGAGCCATCCTGAATCTTCACTTGTTTTTTTTTTAGCTTACAAGATGATACTGGGAAGAGTTGTAAAAAAAAAAGGCAACAGCAGGACTGTGTAGTAACTTATTTGTCATAGAATAATTATGTTCATGATGGTTCTAATTGGCAGTGTTGCTTGTAAGTCGAACAAGTGGTGTGGCTCAACCACTTCCATTTAACCATCCTCCCCCCCCCCTCAACCTCCATTCTTCCCCAACCCTTTTGAAAAACAGTGGAAATTTGAAGAGGGCAGCAGGGCTTTCAATCCTCTCCCACCTTGTAATTTAAAAAAATTCTTACCATCTTGTCAGGAGATTTAACAACAGAGAAAGTTAGTCATGCCAATCAACAACTGTACCTGGAATTATTCCCTCTACCACAATTTTTTCACTGCAGTGAAAATGAGTTTTAGTTTTGGTCAAAGTGGCTAATATATTACTGATAAAGTGCCCAACACTTCTCCATGATAGATCTTTGTCTCTCCATTTTCCCAAATATTGTAAATGAGTGCAATTTGTCCAAAATTCAAGAGGTGGGTAGTACATGTTAAAACCAAATTTTCTTGGACACATGCAGTTCTTATATAACTATGTGGAACAGGCTTGAGGGGTGAATGACAATCTATAGTGAAACCCAAGATTACAACTTTTAACTGAAACCATGAGAGGTTAACAGGTGGTCTATTCATGCAGGTTTTGTCTCAAGGTGTGTACTATAGTGTAACACAACCATCATTGCACCAATATTTTTTTATCCATATCTATTTTGCCATGCAGCTTTGAAACTCATCAATAAATTGAGCACTCATTGGATGTAAAACTATTTTTTACGCATGTTTCAAGGACATTGTTCCCTGAGATATGCCTGACTTGGGTGGGGTGTCTCCATTTACCCTCTTCGGGTTTGTCACATTTGGTATGCATCTACATGTTTTCTATTATGTAAATTTTTTCAGAATTTCTCTCAACTGGTTTAGCACTTTAAAGTTTGCTTGTAAAATATCTGGATATCCCTCTTCAAGGAGACTAACTGAAATTACCAATGGGATGGCCTTGTACCTGGATGACAGCATTCAGTTGCTGTTTTCATTGAAGAATCACTCTTTTAATTAAATCAGTGTGCATTTTTGTCCAGGAAATATGCTTCAATACTGTTCTGTCTGCCTAAGACAATTGCATGATGGCTAGAGGCTAACAATAGGCAGGGATTTCCAAAATGTTACTTGCAACTTTCAAAATGCTTGATAAAACTAGATGGAGTAAACATTTTTTATTTATTTTCTGGAAGACAAGATTCAAGCACCCAAGGAAGATACATCACTGTAGCAATATACAATTTCCTGATATATAAATTCAAACTGGTATTATTTTTTTTCTCCATACCATGTATATCTTACACTCAGTGCAAGTACAGTGTGTTAATATGAATGCCTATTGGAAATTTCTTTGGAAATGTAGGTTTCAGTGGCCGCAGCACCAGTGACATCCTGGAGACTGTATGACACAGGCTATACAGAGAGATATATAGATCTTCCACAAGCCAATCCTGATGGTTATGACAATGGTTCTGTCCTCTCACATGTTCATAAGTTCCCTGAAGAGTGAGTCTTTCATCTTTATTTTTGATAGATCCTTCTTTGAGTCCAGGGTTAAGGTGTGATACATCATTGAAAGGCCTTAATGTGAGCAGGGAAGGGATGATCTCACAACCCATCAGCTAATACTCAAACCAATTTTGTGAAATGTAGATTTTAGTTACACTGACATTGGAAAAAAATTTATTTCATGCCTTAGATGGCTATGACCATGGGAAATTTGCACTGCCAGCATGAGAAGCTGCCTGTTGACAGAGGCCAATACCATTGATTGCTGATTTATTGGTACATTCCAACATAAACTGATTGATTTATAATATTAAAAGAAAAAAACTTTGATGGTGCATAGCCAGCAATAGTTTCTGATCTGAAATACTTTGATCTCTTATCTAGAGGGAATCGTCTGTTGATCATGCATGGTCTCATGGATGATAACGTCCACTTTGCTCATACAACACAGCTCATTGATGCACTCATTCGAGCTGGAAAGCCCTATCTTCTTCAGGTAAGCAATAGTAATTAAAATGTTATGATGTGCAAAGGCAATTAATTGACATTACACTATTCAACCTCTCAGGTTTATCCAGGAGAGAGGCACAACTTACGACGTGTGACATACAATGAACACTATGAAACAACACTGCTCCATTTTCTGGAGCAGAATCTGTGATTTTTTTGTATCTCTTGCTTGTTCAGAGTGCTTGTCTATATTTTTCACATTTAATTGTGATTCTTTTATCACTGTTTCCGTGTTTGTCATTATTATTCCATGCTAACAAAGTGATTTTAAAGAATGCCTTGGAGAGTACGAATAAATGAAGTTGGTGCCATTGCTTGAAACATCAAAGCAAACAATTTTATTTCCCTCCCAACAAAATGACAATCTCATGCATTTTAAATCATACAAGAAAAATCAAGCTAGGCCTTAGTGAGCCTCCCCTTTCTTACCAGCAACTCGCTTGAATTCCTGCATGTTAGTGGTGGAAACGGGGGAGCCAAATACAGCCAAATGGTCAATGCGCGTCTGCTCTGTTTCCTTCTGATTGTCTTTTACAAAGATCTGAAGATTGGTCACATTTTGGAACTTGACATAACGTAGATTAACCAGCTCTCCATCCAAATGTTGCTTCTCCAACCTGTAAATGAAATTCCAAAATATAATTTAAGAGAGATGCAGTGACTTGCATTACTGTCAACATGAGATACCTTTAAACCATTTATGGCTGTTGAACAAAAAATGCTAAAAATAAAATTATACTTCAAGGTGACTTATGAAAATAATATCAGTAAGTCAAACCCCAAACTCACTGAACTACTTGGATGGGATTGACAGAGTCAGCCTGATCAAAGTCCAGTGTCCGTGGCTGATTGATGAAAAGCTTGAGGGTTTTAGGCCCTGAATCATGGGGAGCTTTCAACTTAAGGGAATGTATCTTGACAGCCTGGTTGAAGGCAAGGGAGATGATGAGTTGCTCATCGCAGTCTGACAGGAGGAACCCATCTTCTGGTTCCAAACAATTTGACAGCGGATGGTCATCAGCATTGTTCAAGCACTCACACCCACTCTTGCTTATCAGTGATGTCAGGTCCATCTACAAAAAAAACTCCAATAAACCTC